GTTACAGACAGCATGGAGGCTGCAACCGTCGCAGCGGACTTTGGAAAGCTATTCCGTCCAATCCGTATCACAGCAGTAAAGGGACAGATATCGGGGCCACTGTTGCGCAGCACCATAGGCTAACTTATTCATGGACCCGAACAGATCTATTGAAACCTTATGTGGCACACCACTCCAAGTTCCAGGACCATGGTTGCCGGTTTCCTCACAAAATAAACATGAATATATAAATTCACAAACGCTCACATACTCTCGCTCGCTCTATGCACTCAGACTGTAAACACGTACTCATCACCCTCATCAACATTCGCGGACTGAACCGCAATATTGATTCTGTACACCATTTTCTCCATTTTTCTTCTCCGCTCGCTCTTTTTTTGGCCTTACCCCATTTTTCTACACCTCCACCATATTCTCTCTTCACTAGCAACCCTTTTATACCTCATTTCAGCACTAGGAAAGTCCGTCAAACATTACGCTCTCTAAACGCAAACAAACCACCCAGTCCGGACGGTATTCCACCGATCGTCCTCAAAATGTGTGCTCCGGTTTTACGTCATCTTTTCAGTCTTTCCATCTAAATTCCTTTCCAACCCCCTGGAAGCAAGCCGTGATTGTACCCATTCCCAAACGCGGCGACCTTTCTAACCCCAACAATTACCGACCCATTTTCCTCATCTGTTCTTTCGAAAGTATTTGAAACTCATTTCTGACCAACTACGCACGTTCCTTGAACGCGAAGGACTAATGAGTGACCGCCAGTATGGCTTTCGACCGCGTTGTTCCACCGGTAACCTTCTGACTCTTGTCTCACAATCCTGGTCAGCTGTATTTGATAACCACGGGGAAACACGCTTGTTCTCGCTTGACATCGCAAAGGCCTTCGACCGAGTTTGGCACGAAAGTTTACTGGCGAAACTACCTATGTTCGGGTTCCCTCCAGCGCTTGTAGCGTGGATATCAAGTTTCCTCAGTAAGCGAACCATCTCCGTCCGAGTTGATGGGGTTCTATCTCAGCCACTCCCTGCGAACGCTGGTGTTCCCCAAGGTTCTGTACTTGCGCCCTTCCTTCTATTTATCAATGATTTCCTTCCCCAAATTGCCAATTCGATCCATTCTTTTACTGATGACGCCACCCTCCACTGCTCCCTCTCCTACCGCACTGTTCGCCATGCCCAAACCAACATCGATGGTGACCGTAGTGCAGTTAATGTGTCAC